TGTGTGTGTGTGTGTGTGTGTGTGTGTGTGTGTGTGTGTATACAGTATATCTATCTATCTATCTATCTATCTATATATATATATATATATATATAAAAGATCTACAATCTCAACACAAACACATGCTAGTTCTTTCTGTCTTGCTATGGTCCTCAGTCTGTTGATTCTTTTAATTGTGACATCGTTTAAGAGATCTACTGCAGGCCCAGTATAAAAAGAAAAACATCCCAATTAAGTGCAAATTGTCATTCGATCTATTTGATTATTATGAACTAGCTCGTCTTCTGCAGCAATTTATCTTCCTTCAGTCTAAACGGGACGCTCACAGACATTTCGGCGAGGAACCTCTCGCAGCCCGCCTTGGTCACCTGCTTGCAGAAGCGAAGGTCAATCTGGCAGATGCTCCCGCAACGCTTGAAAAAGTTCAGGGAATGATCGGTGACCCGGTTACAAACTAGTTGGGGAAGAAAGAACACTAATGAGTAAATTTGTATTCGGAGAAGGCAAAACAATCTTGATATTTGACTGGTAGATTTGTGGTAATCTATCTGAACTACATGAACTCAAGTACTGTCACACCTCGTATAAATCCATTTATGTGATTAATTATATTTTTTATTCATTACGACATGTTTGTTTGATTCACTTGTTATGAATCTTTCTGTAGTATGTTCACTTTGACTGAATCTGCTTTTGTGTTTAATATCGTTTATGCATTCACTGTGAACTTGGTATGTCAAAAAAAGTCTGCAGAGGACGAAGTACATACTTTCAATGTGAAGGTGCCAACCGAATTCAGACCTAATTTTGAAGAAAAATTTCAAGACACGTCTTTCAACACGATGTAGCTCAAATGGACAAATTTGGTAATAATGACCGACAGGCACATTTCAATGACTACAAAATTGCAGTAACCTTAATTTATTCCAGTAGTTCCAATTCAAACAGTGAAACTCCTATGTAGTGTATAGATATGATTACTACACACTGGAGAGAGAAATATTCCATGATTTTGTTTTCTCATTTTGATGATTATTGCTTACAGTCAATGAAAACCCCAAATTCCCCATCTTAATACATAATCAAAAATTGATTTCTATTGTAGAAATGAGGTAGGAATTGGCATTCTGAAAAGTACCTCTATTTGGCAAGTGCACAGTGAATCTGTGTGTGTTTTACGTTTGAATTTAAGGACTGAACTAAATCAATGTTTCTAGAATATTCAAATTTTCCAAGACCCCTGTGTTTCTTTGAAGATTCTCTGATTGTGCTCTGGAAACGCATTCTATCATATGGCGGCTGAATCTTCTGTAAGAAAATGGCCAGGATCGATCTCCAGGCCTTCCTGTTCTAAACATGGCAACACTGACTACATTGTACGTATGCGAGTGAAACTTAATGTAGTGACTTAAGAGGTGTGAGCCAGCTAGTGGTCTAACTAGTGTAGCTCACAACCCAGATCAACCTCCTTTGCTGCTGTCCTAACCTGACAAGTTGATTTCTGTGAGTGAGTCTCGAGTGGTGGTCCCCGCCGCTGTGAGCAGGTTGACTGACTGGTCGTTGACGTGGTTACAGTAGCTCAGGTCCAGCCGGGAAAGCAGAGGCATCTGGCGAATGATGAGCCGTAGGGATGTGTCAGTGATGTCCAGGCCTGCCAGACGCAGATCCTCCACATTCCGCAATTTGCAGCGGTTATCCAGCTGACCTGTCCATCAGCGACACGCACACAGACATGTTCAGTCACTCCTACTTACGGTATATGCTCAAGGTACAAGTTAGCAGGCGTGGAAATGTGTCACACATGCGCAAGTCGAAGCTCAGTCTCAAGTCTGAACCTTCAAGTTTCAAGCAAGTCCGGAGTTACACTGTGGAGCAGGGGTCGGGAACTCCGGTTCCTCAAGAGCCATATCCTGCCTGTTTTAGAGCGCTCCAACTTCAACACACCCGATTCAATTGATCATGATCGTTTCAGGCTTCGACAGAGCTTGCTGATGAGGAACCGGAGTTCCCTACCTTTGCTGTAGAGGGAGAGGGGAATTAAAAATAAATGAAAAAAATGTTTTAAAAAACATGTCAAGGCAAGCCCCAGATTAATTTCAAGCTTGTCCAGTGAAGTCATGACCTCATGCTCAGTCACAACATTTTTCCATATACATTATGAGCCACTTTGCATTCCGGGTTACAACAACGACATTCAAGCACATTTTTTATTGCTTTTGATCACGTGTCTATTACGATATATGCTGATATTGAATTATATAGCCCAGCCCTATGACAGATTAGAGGAAAGGAGGACTGGAATGACCCTTTGAACTGGGAGGTCCGAGCTGCGAAGTCAGAACAACAACAACAAAAAAAAGACCCAGAGTTCACCGACTGACTTCAATCGACGATGGCGACCCCATGGAGACACGGACCATGAATGGTGAAATATAATTGACAAGATTACAAATGTACATTTATCTTTATTTAATTATTATTTTGCTACATGTGCAGCTGTTGTGAAAGGGCTATCTAAATTGAGATGTATTGATATTCTAAACTTCACGTAACAACATGATTAGTACTGACTGCGTGAAGATATCCCGTTATATCCCTGCATGAAGTTATTTGGTGAAATGAATGAAATGCTTTGTAGATATTCCTTTTTTATGTATGAAGATTAGTTTAATTACAGTAATTGAAATTTGACACTTGGATTGGTCCACTTTGTGAGTTCTAAGTTACCCGGCCTGTTGTCTGTGGGAGGTGACAGGAGATCTCTCATCTGTGCGTCCTTGAGCCCTTCCACCCACTGGACGTCCAGCGTTCGTAGCAGTGGGCAGCTGGAGGTGCAGAGTGCAGATACAGCCGCCCACGAACACCCCGATAACTTTAACACTCGCAGACCTGACAGAAACAGCAACACTTTAGCGCACTGAGGTAGAGTCAAACTGGAAAAAAGAAAAATGGTCCGTATCTTAACAGGCAAAAAGCAACGCCTGGCGATAAGGTAGGTACCTGGCAATCTGTTAATCAGCCAGCTTAATTGTTTCTTGGAAATGTTGGTCCAGCTGAGGTCCAAAGAGAGTGGCTGTCGCCGAATGATTCCGCTCAGCATGAGTGGCGTGATGGACGTGCAGCGGTTCAGGTCGATCTTTGTCCAGAGTCTTTTATCGCAGCACCTGGCCATCAGAAACAGACAGTTGGGGTGCTAAGTGGTGTGGATCCTGGCCTCAACATGCATCACAGTCAGTGCATGTGGCAGTCCCCACCAGCACAAGTATTTGCTGACAAATGGCTGAATTTGATGATGAGTGTGTTAAACACCTGGTAAACTGGTTCAACTGGAACAGGTTAAAGGCTAAGCCTGGTGTCTATTGTTTGGCTTGATTTTCTGGCACAGTGCAACAAAAAGACAGGGTGATTCCGAACCATCAGGACTCTTTGACGAAATGTCAACGTAATTGGCAGAAACATGCATGTGTTTGTGTATCGAGTTGGTTACAGTTCAGCCATGTTTTTAACCAAGCAGATCAGGTTTGGAGCTGAAAAATGCCGATTTAGTCATTTCGTTTATGTCATATGGACCTAATGATGTCCTGCTAGCCAAAATCTTTCTATTGTGTGCTGCTTACGTTTTCAATTTGCAACTGAAAAAGAAAAAAAGTGAATATTTGCCTGATTTTTCACATTTCCATTTGGGGCTCAGATGAAAAAGACTTCATTGACAAATGGACGAACGGGCCAAAGGATTGGGTTTCATTTTACTCATTAATTAGTCATGTTTTCATAACCTGAAAGTTTGGTAAAGAGCATTATTACAGCTAGGTTAGTTTGGTTGTCATACCACAATTAGTAAAAATATAATATATAATAATGATCCATCAGTCATATTACCGGTATATCAGGGTCAAAAGTGTTTGAAACCTTATTGTAATGGCTTTGTGCTTTACGTCTGACACAGAAGATACAGTGTGCCATTGCTGTGGTCAGAACCGGTTTATGAACGTTTGCCTTGGGCGTGGTCTGTTTATTTACACCAGACTTTATTTAGCCATGCCCTTCCAAACAACCCATTTGTCGACAGTTTTTCTCACACCATTGCACAATGGTTGAAAAAAGGGTGCAAATAATGGTGTTGTTGAAGGGCTTAAATGCCCCAAAATGTACTAGTCCACATAGAGTGTTGCATGTGGACATGAAACAGTGGTGAAAGTAATTGTAACATTTTCCTCCAGAAGAGGAAAAAGTTTTGTTCCAATAAAGACCAAATTCCCATCCAAGACTGATGGCTCTTTCCTGACGCTTGTTACCAAATGTCTGGGTCGCATGAACATGTCAAATTATACATCAAAATCTAACCCAGCTCTGAGGCTTGTTTTTCAAATTTGTACCTTTGATATCTGAGCAAAATAAATAAATACACGTGGGAAAATCTGTCATTTTTTGGCTTTTTGTGTAAGTTTCAAAACTGATATAATGAGTCACCTTCTCATTTTTTAATTGCCAATTGAAAATGTAAACATTGAAATTGATTTTGAAATCTTCTACGTTTCCAGGTCTGACAGCATCCCTCAGGCATTCTCCAAACATTAGCACCCCGACACATACTTTATTGCATGCTTAGCTGTGTGTTACATTTACCATCTGTTCCAGGTCTTGGACACTCTCATGCAGCAGCAGAGTTCCTGATGCGTGAGGTGGTTGAATATCTTCATCCAGACCTCACGCTGGAGGACATGCATTTTGCCATCTTTAAGAGGTAGTCTATCTGGAGGCGGGCTTATTGGCGGGGGCCGAATGACGTGGCGCTCCATTTGGACACACTTGGGCGGCGAGCGCGGAGGCACCGGTCGGGTGGTTGGTGTGCTCCTGTTGAAGCCCAGCGGAGTGATCTGACTTGGGTAGAAGTGGCGCAGTTCCCAGGGGGTGCCATTCATCTCCTTGGTCTTAAGGTGGGGCCTCTGCTCGCCAATGTCATTGCTGTTGTGGAACAACCTCTTGGGTTCTTCGTTTTCAGACTCTGGCTCTACCTTAAGAGGCTGGCGGTTCTCATTGGCCAGGCAGTCCTCGGTTTTCTGAATTTCCTGGTTCAGTGCTTTGCTGAGCTCTCTGCTTAGCTCCTTGTTAGGTAAACGCCGTTTGCGCCGAGCTTTGGGTCGAGGGCCTTTTTCCTGGGTCTCGCTCCCGCCTTCGCTGCTTGGGCCGGCTTGCGGAGAGCTGCAGTGGGAGTGGTCACTGTCCACAATAGGCATTTTGAGGGAAGAATTCAAAAGATCACTCTTATAGTCTCTGTCATCTGCCAGGTCCTCCGCTCCACCCAAACGGCCATTTCGCTCTACAAAACCCCGGAAATGAAGCTCCCTTCCATCGTCATCATCGTCCTCGTACGCATCATCCTCTTCCATCTTAATTTGCTGCAATATTTTTGAAAAACAAGGTTCTTCTGATCTTTCCTACGAGGAAAAAAAAAAGCAGTTAATTTATTTGGCTTAATGTGTGTGAAATTGTTTCTCAACATTAACTCCGTGATTTATTTGTTACTAAATTAGAACATGAACACAAAGAAACATTGAAGCAATACTGGAATGTTTTGTTGCCACTTAGTGGGAAGGCCCAACATTCCCAAAATGGGATGAAGGGGCTCTTTGACACTAACCTGCTTCCTTCCTCTGAAATCATCTTCCTCCTCCTCATCAAAGAGCTTCCTCTTCTTCCTCAGCTTATCCTCGAGCCGGGGTCGGGGAATGCTACCAGGGGATAACATGGGCGGCGGCCGGTGAAGAGCCTCCTCGGGTCGATGCCTGGGTGTCTCTTCTCTGTCAGGTCTCCTCTTGACTGAAGAAGATGTGTCCCCCTCCTCCTTCATAGACTTCTGTTCCCTCAGCAGAGAGCCAGGGAGGTTGGAGGCGTACTTGAACCCTGGACCCCTTTTTTGCTTTAATACCAAAAGGGGGGAAACATGCGAGACAACTTTATACCTTTAGCCTATTGCTCCTCATACATTAAAGAGCTGTATATATTATTCTAACTATTAAACCATATATAAAGACAGGTGTATTATGGTACTATAAAATAAAACTGCAAAAATATAAAAAGCAATGATTGGATAATGATAAGATTCATCCTTCACGTGTGTGTGTGTGTGTGTGTGTGTGTGTGTGTGTGTGTGTGTGTGTGCGCGCGCAATCTAAAGCCACCTCCTCCCAATATCTTTGTACTCACTTTTCCACTCTTTCCAGCATGGTTGCACTTAGGGCATTCCCAGCAGTTTGGCAGCTCGTCGTTCACCACGCCAGAAGCGTCACTCACCTTAACAGGTCAGCGAGAAATACAGCAACATTAAAACGACAATAGTTTTAATAGTGTCCCAGAGTACAGTTTGCTTTGACACAAGGAAGTGAAAGTGAGTGCGGTGTGGGTCTGTTTAACAGTTAAACCTCAGCCATCATTAATGTGCAGAATTCGACCGTGAAGCTTTTGTAAAAGAGAAGTGGATGTGCGGTCTGAAGTGTTACAACTGGAAAGAACTGCCAGTGATACACAACACCAAAATGGGAGCGCACTGTAAAAAAGTCTGCACTGAATGCATTGCTTGAGCAAGGATACGCTAGCAGCAAACTCTCTTCTATTCAACGCATTAATGATAGTGTGTCTCCTGCGTGACATAATTTTGCTTAAATGTTAGTAAATACAGTGCATAATTTTCACAACCCATTTCAACTTTGTCACATGCTGCAGTGTAGGTCTCACTCTAAGTGTTGAACCATTTGATGATGTCACACTCACAAGACATCATATACAAACATGTTATGTTCAAGAACCTTCAGTCAAAACCACTGAGTCACTTCTGTGAGTTTATGATGACCTGGCATTCCTGGCGTAAGACTAAACTACTGAATCACAAGATGAGTGATTTGACTGAGTGGGAGTGTATGTTCACAGGCTGCGTCTCTGTACCTTGAGGCAGTTGGGATGGACAATTTCGTTGCAGATAGAACATTCCATTAACATGAAGTTGAATTTGTCTTCCTCTTCCTCCAGTGTATCCTCCTTCCCAGCCTCTTTACACACCACGCATACGGCTGTGTGGGGCAATACAGGCTGCGATGGGAAAGACAGAGCAGAAAATATTTGATTTTGAAATTAATACTTTGGAATTTGTCCATCAGTACTCTGTATGTCTTAAATGTATTATTTACACGTTTCTTTGCCACTTATTAATGGAGGTGAGAGCTAACAGTTCCAAATAAAATGGACTTCCACCCCTGCCAATGTTATCCAAGCCATTTGAAAAAAGAAAAAAACAAAACTGGTGACTCACTGCTATGCACTGCCTCATAATGCAGGACTGTTTCATGCGGCCTGGACCACCAAACTTCTTCATGTCCTTGCAAAAGTGACACTCGCCACACTCTGTCCGCATGCATGCCTCGCACTTTCGGCAACGCGTTCTCCTCCGTCTGGCTCCTGATGAGCTACGACTGGATGGTAGTTTAACAGCCGAAGGTGTTGCCATCTTGGGCTTCGGACGATTGGCTGCACGCTGCTGCAAGAGTAATAAACAACAAGGGATATATATATATAAAAACACCTCTGGCAAATAGTACATTCTAATTGAAAATTATAAATACAACCACACAATACTATTTGTTAGCCTTATTCAGTATTTTAACTTGTAAATGAGTTACAGAAGCCTGCTATTATCCTCGAAGCAGGATGTAGTGCATAGAGATTGAGTGACTCAGCAAAACAATTAAGACTTTAAAAAAAAGGCATAGCTTTAACTAAACTGTGACACACACCAGTCAAATATCATTTCCATGTGGATTTCTATCATCTCTTTTAATACCCCTCTGGTTGCTATGGAAAGATGGTAAATCACTGAAGGGGGAAAAAAAAAAAAGACAAATCACAGGCCATTACACAGACTCCTTTTCCAACTGGAGACGTTACCTAGGCAACACGCTCGCCTTTCTGCTGGCGGATACGATTCTTAAGGACTGTGGGGATGCATGAAAAATGATAGTGCAGAGATTTATGTTTTACGCGAGGCATTCAATTGTATACTTGTTATTACTGTAATGATTGTAATTAAAGCTCTTGGAAATGAGTGACATTTAAAAGCCTGGGAAACAATTTAGTCATCTATACAACTGCCTTTTATGGATCACTATTTATCACTCAGCGAAACGTATCAAAGGCTGTTGTGGAAAAATGACACATTAAACTGCTTCAGCAGGTTAGCCATGCAATTGTCTGAAAAAGTGAGCCAGTTTGCCCACACTGGGAAACCGGTGTTTCGCCAAAAGTTGTCTTGTCAAGCTGACTGTCAAGACATTCCAGGTTAAAGACACCCAAGCATTGTGTTTAGCTGCCACTTTAAAACAAGAGCAAAGCCGCGTCATTTGACTGTAACAAAGACGTTATTTAACCCGGATCATTTTTGCTACCCTGATTATCAAGTGAAAACATGTTCCTTTATGTTGAACAGAAACAATTCATATTTGGCCTCAGGAGTATTTTGTATGATGGGACTTTTGTGTACATTTGTGCAGAAAGTTAAAATAAGCTCTCCAAAAACACAGCTACTTTTTCCTATCATTACATTTGGATTTACACACTCAAGAAGGTAATCGTTCTATTTTATGCTTATTAATGAGGATAAGGTCGTAGTGGTGGACTGAATCGTTTTGAAATTGCTTATGACGCTTTGATATGTTCCAATGACATATCAGAATCATCTTTAAATCACATAACACAGACGCAACACTGGTTAATATCACAGGGCAAACAGGAGGAGAGGGTCACGGAGTAATTTTTTTTTTTCGGCAGTAATATTGTACTGCGTAGTAATTGTCACTCATCATTGATATTGTTGTTGTTGTTGACCTTGTGATCGCTAGCTAACACTTTTCTGTCTATTGTATGTACTAAATAAACCAGCCACAATCTCAGTTCAGGAATTAGCTGTCATTACAATAGTTTTGGCAGCAATATTCTTCACATGTACTTAATATCATTTCACACGATGGGAAAATGGTGCACAGGTGAGAAGGTGAAATAATACGGTGTTGTTTAGGAACAGGGATAAATTTCATTCAGCCAAACATTAGGAATCTTACCTGACGATACTTGGAAACAAAAGACTGCATTATTTGTATCTGTGCTTATTACCAGGAGTCAAGCACCCACGCTTAAACGTATTTTGCAACAAAACACGTGACCTATAGTTTTTCTTAGCTTTATGATGTGGCTATGATGTAATGGCATTTGCATTATATCACTCGGTAAATGTCCAATCAGACTGATCTGATATCTGCCCCTATGTTGTGAGCATACAGTGTGCAAATCAGATTCTTGCTCTGATATCTGAAGATACAATAACCAGTTTACCTTACCAAATGCATATCTGTGGATTTACACATCACAACTTACATTAATACGACATAAAAGAATCTTAATTTCAAGGACAACAATCTTTTTGTACTAAAAGCACTTTCAAGTCGACGTTCTTCTACCACTTGCATGATGAGATATTAGTTTAGAAATAGGTTGTAGTTATTCAATATTAAATATTTCAAATACAAGAGTGATATGTAGGCTATGTTTATTTATATCTAATCCCAGCAACGTGTAGTATGCAATAAGCATATCATCCCACGCCTTTAGGGATGTTATGCATTATGTAAACCACAATAACTCGTTTTGATCAGTTGTTAACACACTTAACCAGCTTCATGTTTGAGGAGAGAAGCCAATAAATGCCATGGACGCACACTTTTGCCACCGTTTCAAAACAGGTTTGTCCTCTCACTAGAGCACACTTGCAGTGGGAACACCTCAGCAGCCAGGTGCCATCCAGTCTATAAGGAGCTGCAGCGTTGCAACTTGTTCGGATAGCCATGGGGGTCACTCGGTTCTATTTGGACCAGTGTTCTCCATGCAACAGAAGGAGACACACTTCATTGTTCCCTCTCCCCATCCCCCTTCCTTGGCCCCTGCTTTGAGAACATTTGGCCGGGAGCCTTCTTAAAGACAGTGCAACTTAAGGAAGTGGGTGAACTGCACAGTTTTGCAGGAGGAAAACGCGCCTAGCAAATCGTTTGGAAAGCCAGTGAATAGTAGCAGCAAGCTATTGTGGTTCCAGTGACATGGGTCGAAATGTCACAACCGTGTGAAACTTATGCGGTTGCTTTCAGTGGTGGACAGTACAAAATGGGTCAGTTGTGGCAGCAGATAGACGGTGACCAGAGAGAACATTGTGTTTTGACGCTCGGAGTTTTTGCTTGATCAAGTGAACGGGTTCGTTGAACTAAAAATCAAAGTAAAGGTTGGCTATTGTGCGTACAAATACATCTCATCCCTAAATAAGGGTTCCGACCAGATATTTGTCCTTTCGATTTGGCAGGACAGCGCAGTAAAGCTCATGGATACAACAGTGTGCTCAGGTAATGGGGTGGTGGGGGGGTGTTAACACAGCTCTCGTAACAATACTATTTCAATCCCATGCTTAAATTTACATTCAAATCACAAATCAATATGTGCAAAGGTTACACTTAGGTTAATTCATCAGCTCTGACCTGTTCGGAGTCTGAATCATATTCCTCATCGTCTCCACTCAATGACAAGGCCATGGCTCCGCGTTCATCGTTGGTGAAAAGCAGAAAAATCTAACATGGCTGAACAAGACTCGAGAGAACACTGCACACTCCCGCTGCCCCTCCTCCTTCCTATCACACCGAATAGCAGCCAGCTGGCAGAGTGTACTAAGTTGAGTTCAATACATATACAAAAAGTAGGAAATAGGACTATTCCCTCCCTCTTAAGGAAAGCCAACAAAATATACAAAATAAAAATAAAAACAAAAAAGAGAGAATACGTCGAATTAGAGTTGTTAAATATGCACCACTTTTTTGTTCATGTATTTATAAACCTAACTATCTTTATTGCAATCTGAAAGTACCTCGCATCCACATTACCGGATTGGCCTCTGTTGTTACCGAGGACCTTGTATGTAGCATTTAAAAGGTAAAAAAAAAAAAAAAACAAACGGAAATGAGGATATGTCATTAACAAAAGATTGTACTGTACATCATAAAGACGCGTCAGTTTTTGTTTTTGATGTTCAGTTTCGGTGATGTCATTTATTTACCTGCAGCACTTGACATACCAGTAGAATTAGTCACAGATCATCAGAGATAATAACCATGTGAACCTTACGTTTGAGTGTTTTAGATAAAGAAATTAACATTTACATCATTGTACGATAAGCTACAAACCCTCACAAGTAACATTGTTTTCTTTCCACCAACACACCAAGTATTCGATCCACTTCAGATCCATCATTTAATCCGCTGAGACAAAAATTATTGACATCATACGCAATGTAATGTCATGCTGTGTTATGCAATGAGTTGAACAACATACTTAGCTACTTGTATATTCTGTATATTTTCTTCGTATACTGTATTGAGATATTTAGCTGGGTGGATGAGCCGTTTAATGGCCGTGTCTTGGGCCTTGCCACATCCAGGGTCAGGTTAATTTTTTGGTTTGGGTTTTTTTATTGATCAACTTATTTTCATACAAGTTGTTGTCAAGCATTATATCTGTTTGTCGGTGTAAGACAAAGTTGAAACCTTATCTCTGTTGAATATTTTATCTGAGCTCAAAGAGCAGTGCTTCTTTTGGTGAAACTTGCTGTGCCAGTTGAGTTGATACAACCCTTGATTATTTTGCGCTTTCACCACAGCTGCAGGTGAAGATAGAAATATCCATTTATCTGTGTTGAATATCAGAATACCATAGTAATTTGACTCTTGTATTTGTTATCTATCCATCCATTTTCTATACTTGTGAGTTGAAGCCTATCCCCGCTGACTTTGGGTGTGAAGTGGACTATACCCTGGATTGATCCGGAGTCAGTCACCAGGCACAAGAGAACCATTCACGCTCTCCTATGGATAATTTAGAGTTTTCAATTAACCTAACATGGATGTTTTTGCTCGAAATTCCCAAAATTTTTTGGAATGACGGATGAAGGAGGACCCACAAAACATGCAAGCCCCATACAGGAGGGCCTGAGTTTAAATTTGAGCCAAGACTCTTTCAATAGTGAGGTAGACATACTGACCACTATGCTGTTTGGTTTCAAATTTTCAGAATCAAGTCAAGTCAAGTCAAGTACAACTTTATTGTCAAATGCGCTGTATGTGCAACATACAGCACAGATGAAATTTCTTCCCTCTCAACCAGACAAGACAACAAGAGGAGCTACTGCGGGTGCCCGTGCTGCCATCAAAAGAACAGTTAACATAAAATGACAAAATAATACAACACAACACATAAGACACAGACAGTCGTGCAATCTTAACCACTTTTCCTGCATACACTTTGTTGTTTGAAGCAGTTATAGATGAAGGAGGAGTGAATCAAAGTGCCCTTTTCACCAGTGGATCAATGACATGCTGAAAATGTGCACACGTCTGCAGTTTGAAAGCAACAAGAAGCTGTAGCGTCCATTAACGAAAAAGAGATTGGTTGTCATCTCCTGTCCCATGTAAATCTGTAAAGAATATCACTTCATTGCTGATATTTGGAAATCGACGTAAAAAGTCTTTCAAAATGACAACTTGCATTTATTTTTGTAGGAGAATAGGTATCTTCATCATCATTTTTACAAGAAAACAGAGAAAGGGGAACTTGGAAGAGGAATTGTGTAATTGTGAAATTTTTGCATTTGTTCCTTTTCTAGTTTACATTTTACAAACCTTTTTAAATTAATGTTTACATTATGTACTGTATTCACATTTCATTGTATGTACCTCCAAAATAAAATCAGATGCGACAAGAGCTGTATTAAAATTGTGCCTGAAGAAAGATTTTATTAATTGCTACCATTAGAGATATATTTTAACAATGTGTTTATTTTTATTTTGCAGAAGTGTACTGTACACACAATTTCTGATATTTTGGCCACTAATTTGCTATAAGAAAAATAATAGAACTGACCAGTCAGGGCCAAAAAGGCCTTCTCTACTGCCCTCAACCTAATCTGAAGCAGTGCCATACACTTCCCCCTGAAATTGGAATAATTATTTGTTCCATAAAATTGAATTAATTTATTCTCAACAATCTATCCTCTTAATCTTGTGACCTTTCTGTTGGCTTCACCTTCACTGCTCAGTACTTCCATACATGTGGTCATATATTTATTTATTTATTTAGGGATCAGATTTCACCCTGCCATGTGCTGTGCAATATGCTGCCATGTCAAGCAGTAATCTGCCAACGGCCTTCAGAACCCGTTGTGTTGGCCGGTGTGACAAAGATTACAATGCAACTGTTTCTTTCACAATCATTAATCTTCATAATGGCAGCATGCTTGGCCATTTTTTAGTCCTGTGACTGATTGGTCTGAGTAAAAATTATAGCCAACAAAAGCAAAGGACGTCTGTAGTCATTTGTCCACACTGATACACATTAGCATGATGCAGTTTGTTTAATTGCTTTGAGTTTTAGTCATGTTATTAGACAACATGAAAACTGCTACAGATTGCGAATGATGGTTACTGTAATTGCGACATTATAGTGTGGTATGAAGAAGTTGGTTAAATCGGCTGAACGCCCAAGTATCAAGGAAAGGTTTTCAACCTGGTAAACCACTGCAAAATTCAACCGCAATATTAAACACACAGTAAATGTTTTTACATTGATTCCACTCTCACAGTGCCAATGAAAATTAACAGCGATATCTTTTTGCAAATGTAAAGTTATGATTCAACTCTTATGATCCGTCAAGCGCCTTTTACTTTGCCAAGCAGCTTGGGCACAAATGGGTACCCATTACCCTTCACGGACGCTAGGGGCCATTCTTGTCCAGCTCAGCTCAGCTCAGCTCAGCACTGCATTGAATTGTGGGTACAGTAGCTCATATTTCTGACAGTCAGCTGTTGCAGGAAAGTTTTGTCATGGTCGGATAGCTCTCTCTTTTTCCTCTCTGTGTTCCTCTTCTTGCACTCTCTTCAGCGACCACTCGCTTTCCTTCCGCCTTTTCCGTCACTGCAGTGTTTAACACACAAGACAGCCAGCTGTTCAACTCCAATTCTACGCCAGACGAAGACTTCGGAACTTTACGGAATGAGTTTGAACGAACATTCCTTGCAGGCTCTGTCATGGAGAAAATTGTACTTGAGCCGGGCCAAGTTGAAAGCCACCAGCCGCACTTCAGCTCTTTTGTCGGGATTCGCGATGGTAAGTTATTTTAGCGTCTCTGCTTCCTGGAAAACGAACATGTTTCCACTGCACACGAGTGTTTTCAAGGTCTTGTTGCTGTGCAGTGCTGCTCCCTGCCTAAACACCCCCGCAATGACCTCATTAGTCTTTGTTTGATTGTAATTAGTAGGAAACAGTTTGAAACACACAAAAAAAAGTCGCGCGATCCGAAATTGCCAAGTGACTTGGTTTCACAAACATCACCAAGTAAATGGGTCATGAACGGATGTTCCGGTGGTGTAAACATGGCCTACCTGCGTACCCTTGGTTTTGTTTTAATGTGGAAGTACTGTATAGTAAGTAGAGGGAAGTGATTGTGAATACTTTTCTGAATTATACATTCACTGAATATACTGTACTGTATATTGAGTAGCAAGGTGACGATCAAGTAAGCCCCAAATATGCGCATTACTGCACTTAAGTTCACGTTTAGAAATGTCCTCTCATACTGTATGAATACACTTGTTCCCTTGCACTGTTTAAATTCCAATTGTTTGTGATCGGTAAAAAACAGACCCACGCAAGATAATTCATTATACAAAGAATACATTATATTAGCAGAATAGAATAAGGAAGGCTGGAAACAGATTTGTAGCCCAAGTCGTTTTGTTTGTTTGTTGTTTTTCCTGTACTGCAATGCACGGAGTTCGTTATTTCGAGCTTTGTGTGATGTATTATTTTAGCGTTGTTAGACTCTCCATTTCACTGTAGACTTTGCAGCACTTGCAGTTTAAACATTTTTTTTTATTTTAGTCTCATGTAATTCATTATCAAAATAATTATTTCACAGAAGGAACCAAACACCACCCTACCATTCAGTCCTCAACATACCAGTCTGGAAAAGGGTACAAAGGGGTTGCTTTGAAAAATAAGATTGCTCACTCTCTCTACTTTGGAAGCTCTCTGTGGGCCATTGGCTTGACTCAACTCAACTGTATTTATAGAGCACTTTCAAACAGCCATGTTGCATACAAAGTGCTGTACATGGAGCAACTAACATATGACGACAAAAATATCAGGAAAAGCCTACTTGAACAACAACATGATTTTGAATGTGGAGCTGATAGAGCTGGACGGTTAAGGAAAGAATAATTATAATTGTTTTGATTTAGATTTAAATTACGCTTATTGAAACATTTTTAATTATTTTAAAAACATAGCATTTTTTTAAGTACTGAAACTCAACTACTCAAGCCATCATCATAGCCTCATGCCGGTTCATCCCTGAACATTGAACACTTTATTTTTGAGCTCTCAATTCTTTTTGTCAAGTACAAAATGATCTTGTACATTTGTGAAGTTCAAGCCTCTTTCATTTTCATTCTGTGACATCCACATCTTTGATGCCTTGCGTTTTTGCACACATTGAAGCCTTCAATGAGCATTACCTTTATCTCTTTATCATATTTATTTTATTTTATGTTACTTTCACAAGTCTTGGGACTTACTGGGGGTAACCTGAGATCACAGGGATTGTATTTCATTCAATGTCATATAAAAATGTGTGTTGGTTCAGTATGACAAAAAAGTCTTTGGATCTTGGTATCCTTGAAATTTGAGGAAAGGAAAATTCCAATTGGCTGATTCCATTCAGCGCAATTCGTCAGAGTAAAGTGAGGTTAAAAAATGTACTTTAGTTGTATTGTGCAATATGATTCATGCAGTTATTCAAGGTACACTAATGTATATTGTACCTAATTCCAATTATATTTTCAAACAAACAAATAAATGACTAAAAGTAGGTAGGTCACTTGGACCTGGTCATTTTAAAAGTGGCTCGCATGCTGAAAAAGTGTGGGCGCCCCTGATGTACATTTATCATTTACCATATAGGTCATGTATTGCAATTTAAGGTACACACAACTGAAAAAAACACTGCCAAGCATTATGGGTTAATTAATTATTTAAACATCACTATTGTTCCTTAATGCAATTCTAATTCTTTTTTTTTTTTTTTTAACCAGGTTGCCATGGTGGAGGTACAGCTGGAAAGGGACTATACTTATCCTCCAGGGTTGCTGATCGCCTTCAGTGCCTGCACTACAGTACTAGTCGCGGTGCACCTCTTTGCACTCATGATTAGCACCTGTATCCTCCCAAATCTTGAGGCGGTCAGCAATGTTCACAACCTCAACTCAGTGAATGAATCTCCCCATGAGCGTATGCACCGTCACATTGAACTGGCCTGGGCTTTTTCCACTGTCATTGGTACCCTTCTCTTCCTCACAGAGGTGATGCTCCTCTGCTGGGTCAAATTTTTACCTCTGAAAAGCAACACGGAAAAAAACGGCACCATAAGTGCTGGCCAAGCGGCAGCCATCGCTTCCACTTGCATCATGGTACCTTTTGGCCTGGTTTTTATTGTGTTCGCCGTTCACTTTTACCGCACACTGGTCAGTCACAAAACTGACCGGCAGATCCGAGAGCTGGAGCAAGTTATTCGGCTGCAGAACCAACTGGACCACAGGACGGAAAATGATGACCTGAAGACTGTTGACCATTTCGCTTGATTAATTTGCTTGCTTGCAGGAGCATGGGACATTCAGCAGTGCTTTTTGCTGTGAAGTTAATGTTTCTGGACAATGCTTAAATAGTCATTTTCCTCTTCCAAGCACGCAAGGGTTCTTGATTTCCTGTTTACGTTATTTTTGCATATTATTTTAATACGAAAAACACGAGACATGCTGCATTAGTTCTGAAGCTTTGATAAGAACCCGCCATATAACATTGAACATGCCAAACTCACATGGAGGAATTCATGCGGTCATTACCATCAACATAATACCTTTTTTGATATGGAGGTAATATTCTCAGTTTTGCATTGTCAAAAATTCACAGTAAGAATTTGTTGTTGGGCTGCCTATAATCGACACAGAACATTTCTGGCAGAACAAAAACAGTTTAAAGCAAATTTCCGTATTCACATTGTTACACATACAAAATTGCGGATGCACACATGCCACCTATTCACAACGTTTAATGGAAATCGGTGGCCTAATTTTGGTGAAATCCTGCTCACTCATAAACCAATGATGATGCATGTTTTAGTTGAACTCATTGGAATTGTGTCCTTTATCGCATATGTAAGATATTTTAGTGTTGATAATCATGATGACATTTCTGTCAGTATGTCAATTTTTATATCTCATGGTGTGTGGAGTTTGTGTTATTTTTGGATTCAGATCGAGGTACTCAATTGTCAGTACAGATGATTGTTAATTTTAATTTTATTGCAAGCTTAATTTTAAAATGTATATTTAACCTGTAGGAATTTGCGTATTTGTGGATCGATCTACAAAGTGTGATCAAGGCTCGAAATAAGTGGTTTTGCATGCAATTTGCCAGTTAGAATTTGCACCGCATCAAAACACATTGAATGGCGAAATTGAGACTCACAGATTTTTTTCAGACAACTGAACTGCCGAGACAGTCTCAAAAAAGCTTCGCTGGGCTAGGCGCGTACATGTTAGCGTGGTACAAGGTGCTCACATCACGTTAGGCCGTCGGAGGTCAAGGCAAGCTCAGTGCTACGGTACATATGCTGCACCGGCGAGCTAACAGCGATCTTTGGCTTGCTACGTAGATAGAAAACAGGAGATGTGTTACGTTACCGCATATGTCAGCTGTAAGGATTTGGTCGATAGTTTTAAAAGTGTTAATATAGTACAAAATATTTATAATATCAGGAATATTGTCTGTTTTCTTAACAGAGAACTTGGAGAGTTTTTATTCTGACTTTTGAGGTCTGCATGATAAATGTTCTAAAAATTATATTACAGTTAGTGTTTTCATTTTTTCTTTAAATATACAGTATATATCAATTCAGCTTCACTAAAAATGCAATTCATTCAGTAATAAGTTTAAACTGAAATTTTAATTAGTTAAATATATGTAATTAACATTATATATATATATATATATATATATATA